CTTCCTTCCTTCCTTCCTTTTTTTTGGTTTTTCTAGACAGGGTTTCTCTGTGTAGCCCTGGCTGCCCTGGAACTCACTCTGTAGACCAGGCTCAGAAATTCACCTGTCTCTGCCTCCCAAGTGCTGGGATTAAAGGCGTGCGCCACCACTGCCCGGCCCTTTCTTTCATTTATTTAAATAAGAGTTTGTTTTTTAGCCCAGGCTGGTCTTTGACTCATGATCTTCTGCTTCAGCCAACACTGAACTTTCTAAGCAAAAATATCAGATAACAACCTAGTAAAATAACTTGCAGCACTGTCAAACTGAACAATGCATAATACATATGATATAGTGCAAAAACTGGTCCACAAATTGCACTCAATTATATCCTTTTAAAAAACACTTATTTTTATGTGCAATAGTGTTTTGCCTGCAGGTGTGTCTATGTGATTGTGTCAGATCCCCTGGACTGGAGTTAAGAGACAGTTGTGAGCTGCCATGTGGGTGCTGGGCATTGAACCCAGATCCTCTCAAAGAGCATTCAGTATTCCTTACCACTGAGCCATCTCTCCAGCCCCCACTCAATCATATCTTAAAAATGAAAAATCAAAATCAGAAAACAGGCCATAGATAACTATTAAAGAGTTCTAAAACAGCTGACAAAATTCAGACAGCTTCAAAGAGATGACACACTAAGATGCAGAAAAAGACAACAGAACTGGAAAGAAACCACTAACCCCAGAAGAAAAACTATTCTCTCAAATCAAAAATTCTACTAAAAACACTACTTTCATATTGAAATATATATCTGCCTTTGGGAAGGAAAGGAGCCTAAATTTTGCTTGCCTATTTGTGTTTAAAGAAACTACAATTTAGAAAATATTCTCATTTCTATACTAGTTAAAATCACTATGCTTCTAATACCAGCAAATGGGAGGCACAGGCAGGCAGGCTAAGACCAACCTGGTCTTCATACAGGGATCCCGGTTAGCCAGGATTAATACAGTGTGGTCCTGTCTCAAAACAGTAACAATAAAAAGGTGAGAACTTAGAGACCAATAGTGAATCGCATAGCAATATTCTATACACTCTGGTAGCCAGGGAAGACAAGTTTTGCCTAGAATGATCCAGCTTATAAAACTCTGATGCAGTTCAAACTCAGGATGATGACACCCACCTATATAATCCTACCAATCAACCAGGGGAGTGCTACAAAGACCCTATCTAAAAAACAAGAAGGAAAACAAAGAAAGTCAATAAGCCAACGTATCACTGTAAGAAGATTTGTAAATAATAAATCATTTTATGAACGTCTTTATTTTTAATAGAAGCCCAACTTCCATCAGTGTAAAGTTTTTAATGTTAACTCTTTATAAACCAATCTTTTTTTTTTTTTTTTTTTTTTTTTGGTTTTTCGAGACAGGGTTTCTCTGTATAGCCCGGGCTGTCCTGGAACTCACTCTGTAGACCAGGCTGGCCTCGAACTCAGAAATCCGCCTGCCTCTGCCTCCCGAGTGCTGGGATTAAAGGCATGCGCCACCACCGCCCGGCCTATAAACCAATCTTTAGAGTGACAGTTTCTTTATTTTTGAGTTTCTCTGTGTCACTTTGGCTGTCCACCAAGAGATCCACCTGCTTCTACCTCCACTTCCTGAGTGCTGTGATTGAAGACTTGTGCCACTAATGCCCGAGCAGTTAAAGATGACCTACAAATTCTGCTTTAAAAAATATTCTGTTGTGAGCTAAGCCTGTAGATCACCTGAGAGTTCTCTGAGATAACTGGACCACAAGTTTAAGGCTAGTTTGGGTCACACAGCTCAAAGCTAGTCTCAACTTCTTCACTAAAAGACCTTAAGTCAAAAACAGCAAAATGAACAAATAAAACAAACAAACAAACAAACATCCAACTACAATAAGATGACAACTCTAGAATTTTAAGTTTAACAAACATATTTAAGACTTCTCCAAATAAAAAAGTATAGTCCCAAGAATTCAAAATTCTAAATTTCTATGATTTTGTATATATCCTCAGAGGAGAAACATTTTCTTGGCAGAGAGGCAGAGCTGAAACAATGAATGTCTTTCTATGTAAGACATTCTAGGCTGTACACACACTATATATATAACTCAGGCAATCTTCCAACCCTAGTCACCACAACTGGCTGAAAAGTCAATTCCATAAACAAAACAAGGTATAGGTAAAATGGGAGTGAATATCCTTGGAGCTTAGAAGGCTTATTAAGTGAGTATAGTAGTATATACCTATAGTTCTAGTACTCAGAAGTTTTACACAGGAAGTTCAAAAGCAGCCTGGTTTACACACCCAAATTCCAGGCCAGTAGCCAGGATTACAAAATAAGCCCCTAAGCCATGCCCTTATCCCAACACTAAGAAATCCAATCTCTGTGAGTTCAAGGCCAGCCCAGTCTACAGAAGACTACACAGAGAAACTCTGTCTCAAAAAACTAAAAATAAAATAAAATGAGCCTCTTTTTTGGGGTGGAGGGGACCCTGGCTGTCCTGGAACTCAGAGATGTACTTGCCTCTGCCTCCCTGGTGCTAGAAATAAAGGCATGTACCACCACTGCCTGGAGAGTCTGTCTTAAAGTTTGAATCTTTAAATTTGCTTTTATGGGGGGTGGGGGTGGGGTGGGGTGGGGTGTGTGTGGGGTGTGTGTGTGTGTGTGTGTGTGTGTGAAGAAATGGTTTATTGGTTAGAAGCACTGGCCCAGGTTCAATTCCCATCACCCACTAAGAGACTCACCATCATTTATAACATTATGTTTCAGTGGCTTCAACACACTCTTCTGGCCTTTATGAATACCAGACATCATACAGTAAAGAAACATACATACAGCTGAAATGCCCATACACATAAAATAAAATTTCTTTTTCAAAATTTCAAGTAATCTTAAACTGCTGTGAAAACTAGGGTAAGTTGCAGTGGTAACACTAGAAGCAAAAAACAATGTCAGATATGGTGGCTCACAGGTGTAACCTTAGTACTTCGTAGACCGAAACAGGAAGATTGCCACGAGTTCCAGGTTAGCCTGGGCTACTGAATAAGCCTGCTCAAAAACAAACAGAATGGGATCATTTTTTCCACATAACCTAGAATTACCTTCTACACTAAACTAACAACAGCACATTTATTTCTAAACACAGTAATTTACAGACCTCTGTGTTCATCACTTGCTGGGTAAATGACAATGGCAGATACACATTACATTATTCGATTATAAATACCTACTGGCCATAACAAAGCGATCTGTCATCCATCTGCAATCAAGATGGTTAATGTAGAGCACAGAGCGGTCACCAACAGAAGTAAGCTGACGTGGGACCCCAGCCCTCCTAACACTTACTTAATAGTGGCAGCCATGCTCTGTGCTTGCTGCTGAGTGCCGTTATTGATTGTGCTGGTGTTCTTCAACTGGTTCATCTGTGGCTGTGGCTGTGTGCCCCCTCCTCCAGGGCCAGCGCTGGCCTTCACAGGGCCCCTCAGCTGGCCATTCTGACTGGACAGACCCATGATAACAGGGTTCTCGGTTCTGGCTGTGCTCATGCTTTGTGAGCTGCACAGGTGTCTTTCAAACTTCAAACTTTTCAAAGTCAGTAGAGAAACTGTAATAACAGTTTATGAGGCTCTCCAAAATGAAGAGATAAATAAGTCTTGCTCAATATATGAGTCCTTTATTGCAATTCAGGCAAGCACCTGTAAGTCTCTCAACGGTAAGCAGCAGTAGTTAACTTGCTTTCATGCACCGAATCAACTTTGTATTTTTTTTAAAGCCCTCTAACAAGCTTGAATTATATCTGAATTCACTCACTTCAATCTGAAACAAAGAAAAAAAATAAATTAGCAGACAACAAAGTCAGGGGGGAAAAAATTGTTCCCTTTCAGACCTCCTTTGGAGCGTTCATCTTCTAAAGAACACAAACAGCCACACTCAGGCCAATCACTGCTTGAGACAGGAAACACACAGCAAAGAACTGCCTTGAAGACCCAATCTATTTAAAAAAAAACAAACAGAAAAACCTAACCTCAAACATTTAAAATTCCAAGATCAAAGCAACTTAGAGAAAATGAGGCAGAAAGATACTATTGATAAAATTCAAATTCACTCTCAAATCACAATCTGTTCTTCAATCTCCTTTCTGGTGAATTCTCTCAAAGTCCTGCCACCTCTAAAAGTCATTACATTTAATTGCATTAAGACTTGAAATATCACTCAATTTACTTAATGTACATCTAGGCTTGACCAAGACCAGGTAATTCACTAACATTTTTCTACTTCTGACGGCAACCAAAAACCTTTAAATGAGAAAACTTTTCAAATTAAAAAAAAGGTCTTCTTACCAGTTTCAATTACAGAAGCTAAGCATCTTTTTTTGAGCTGAGTTTTGTCCTTACCAAAATAAATGAAGCAGTCAAAAGATCTGTGCGGAGCAGTCTACATGTCAAAAATCTTTTGCTCGGAAAAACTCTTAAAGATCCGAAGAAAAGAAAAACAAAGAAAAAAGAAGACCCCTAAAAGCTGAAAGCTGTTAGTGTTGCCTTTTAATATAACACTTTTCAAAAGTATGTCCTAATTTAAAATAAAGTTCAAAGGTATGGGGGGCAGGAAAGGAAGGGAGGTTTTGTAGTTAAGGGGGAAGGGAGAGAGAAAAACTTGTAGGTTTAATAAAATTCTCCCAATTCACCCAGAATATGGAGTTTAATTAACAATTATTTTCATAAAGAGTTGGTCAACCTCCTCTACTTTAAATTGTAAGTAAAAAAGTACTGAGGACCACTATAAGCCCAACTCCTTCAGTTTTATTTTGTAACCCCCTTACATTTCACTAGCTCCCAAAACTAAATTAGCCTCTGGTTATCTTTGCCACACACCAAGTATCCCAAATTCAAAATTTTCAAGTCAAAAGATATCTCGTTATATATCAACTTGCTCAGAAATGCTTCTTATCATACAACGTTGTTTATTTGTTCTGTTAATAAGTATTTTCTGTACTGACAGCACATGGTCACAGCATCGGGTACGTCTTACTGTTTGTACAGCACTATGAGGATGAAGAGGGCAACCTCTGAATACTAACCCACACCATCAGTACTGTCAATCAAGCACAGTAAGACCTCCTAGCGCCTTCAACCCAGAGACTTTGATAACTGCTCCCTCCAGGAACTGATACCTGCACTGCAGCTCTACGTCTCAGTGGGGGAAAATACTCGTCCTACCCCTTCCCAATTTAGAATTTGCAAGTTATATTCCTAAAACAAAACAAACAAAAACACGAAGGACGGTAGACTTAGTTGGGAGGAGCCCCTGGCAGAGTTAATTACAGCACGGCCCAGACCGGGGTTAGCAATTGACAGTTTTCACACCTTTAAAACAGTACCATAAGCTCCAACAAGGGCTTTTGTTTGCAAATACAGCGCGATTTCTCTAAGCCTCAGCAGGAAGTTGGGAGTGATTGGGGGGTCTTCTGAAGGAAAAGGGGGCTATGGCGAAGGGAAAAACCTAAGCTGAGAATCCGAGTCCGGTAACCGTAGGGCAATAATTCCTCGCCCCCTCCCCCAACTTCACTCTCTTCAAATTCAGCTCCCTCGGACCAAAACGCAAAAGGGTTTCTGCCCTGCAATCCTAGCTACGCCACAAGAGCCGGAACCAGCTCTGCGAGGGGGAAACAATAGGGACTCCCCTCCGAAGGCCCGGAAGAGAACCCCGAAACTGGTCCGCCTCTCCTTTCCTCTGACGCCGCCGAGTCTCCCGAAAACCTGCAAGGCCTACTTGCAACCGAGCAGCTGCCGGTCCTCTCCTAGCCGGGTCTCCCGGACAGCACAGCCCTGCCGCCCCCAACAGGGCTGCCTCGCACTTCCAACCTCACTCCGGAGTCCCGGCCGCCGCCGCTCCGTCTCCGTCCCCGCTCCCGTCCAGCACACCGCTCGCCCAGAGCACTCCGCCGCTCCTCCTCCAGACCCCGCACACACCGCATTCCTCGGTTCCACTCCTCTCCGCCGCCCCCGCTCCTCTCAGCCGCCACCCGCCCGTCCTCCCCGGGCCAGGCCTGGGCCTCGGGCTTCCGCCTCAAAGCGCGCCCCGACGCCCGCCCCAGGGGGCTCCCCGCGACCCCCAGGGCCCTGTCAACCCCGACCACACCGCCTCACCCCACGCCCCGCAGCTCGGGCCCGAGTCCTACCACCGAGGCCACTCCCGCTCCGCACCCTCGGTCCTTTATTGTTGACTCGAAGCTCCCAAAATGGCGGCGGCTCCTTCCTCCTCGGAAACCTCCGCCCGCCCCCACCCGGCCCCTCGCCGCTACGCCCGCCGCCCCGCCCCCGCCGCGCCGCTCGCCGCTCGCCGCCCGCGCCGTCGCCACCGCCACCGCCACCGCCACCCCGCTCTACCTCGGCCGCAGCCCGCTGTGCCGGCGCCCCCGATGTCGCCGCCGGGCTGAGCTGACTCTGCTGCTCTGCCCCCTCCCTCGCCCGCCGCCGTCGCCTCCCTCCCTCCTTCCCAGCCTCTCCGCATGGCGGCGGCCGCGGCTCCTCCTCCACACAAGATGGCGAGAGCTCGGCCGCCGCAGCCGCCGCGGCGTCACGGCTTCCTGGGCGCTGCGGGCAAGGGTCGGGAGAGACCCGTCTCGGACGGGGCCGAGCTCGGGGAAAACACGGGGCAGCTCTCGGGAGGGACGGACGGACAGACGGACGAGAGGGAGGGCTTGCCTGCAGAGCTGAGGAGACCGATGGGGAAATGAATGGTGGCCGGGGAGAGTCGCCCTTGTGTGTCTTCGTCCTCCGGAGCTGGGCTTGGCGGGTCCGGGCCGGAGGGGACGTCTGCTGACTGCTGACCCCGGACGCGCTGGGACTGACCCGGGGTGGCCCGGAGGCCGCGGCGAGGCCAGGGCGCACCTCCGCCCAGGGACGAGCAGAAAAACGGGGCCTGCGGGGCCGATGCTGTCGGCGAGTCAGCGGGAAGGGCGGCCGGGGAAAGCGTGAGCCGGGAGCGCGCCCTCGGTCGTGGGCTTGCAAGCCCGGAGTGCAGGCGAGGTGACCCTTTGCTCCTGCCCGCAGTGACACTCTTCTAGAAAGAAGGGCGGGTCGGTCGCCTCTGCGAGCGAGGGCTCGCCGTGAAAAAATGGGAAACCAGTAGATCCTCCTGCCTGACCCTCACTGCAGATATTTGTGCGTTTGACTCTGTGACTCTCGGATCCTGATGTCTTAGCCTTAACCTAGAAAGCCGGCTTGTTCCAAACCAAACAAACAATTTTGTTTGCTAAGTAGAAATTGAGCTGGGCCGAAGAGAAAGGACAGACCTGCGTCTTAACGCTGCTGGAGGGCTGGAAATACTGACAATGGTCAAACCATTTGTGACAGTACGACCCGTACTAGAACACCGACGTTAAAGGGTCCTGGACAGTCAATACTTAGTCACAGACTAGCAGCTTCCATATTTTTACCGCTGCTTCCAACTTGAGACCAATCAGAGGAAGCCAAATATGCGCTCTAAACCAATGACTCCCTGCTTCCAGCCCTCCTCCTGCTTTCTAGACAGCAACATCCAATCAGAATAAGCCTGATTTTTTTTTTTTTTTAACTTGAGAGCCCAAGTCTTTACCAAACTCTCTGATGACTACACGGGCCATAGCAAGCACTGAGTCAAATAATGGCCAGTTGTCATTTGGTGATTCTGATTTAGTTCCATAGAACAAGGATTTACAAGTATGTGCCACGACACCCTGTACTCTTAATTTATTATTATGATGAGGATGCTTTTGTTTGTTTGTTTGTTTTTTCGAGACAGCGTTTCTCTGTGTAGCCCTGGCTGTCCTGGAACTCACTCTGTAGAGCAGGGTGGCCTCAAACTCAGAAATCCGCCTGCCTCTGCCTCCCAAGTGCTGGGATTAAAGGCGTGCGCCACCACCGCCCGGCCCGAGGATGCTTTTTGCAATTCTGAGTTCAACACATTTTATCTTCCATCCAGATTTTAAAATACCTACTCATGCAAGGGAATAGGCCTGTACCTTGTGTTCACCCTAGAGAGAAGCTAAGTGATCTCTTAAGAAAAGGTATGAGGCTTTGTTTGCCTCTTTTGGGCTTGTGTTTGTTTGTTTGTTTGTTTGTTGAGACAATTTCTCTGTGTAGCTCTGGCTGCCTGGAACGCACGTTATATAGTACAGGCTGGCCTCGAACTCATAGGCCCACCTGCCTCCTGTATGCTAGAGTTAGAGACATTTACCATCAACCCCTGACTAAAAGTTTTTATTTATTTCTTTTAAGGTTTATATTATTTGATGTGTATGGGTACCTGTATGTCTCTGTACCACATGTGTGCCTGGGGCCTGAGGAGGCCAGAAAGGGTCCTCTGATTCCTTGGAACTGGAGTTACAAAAGATTGTAAGCTACCATGAGGGTTCTAGAAATGAACCATGCTCCTCTGCAAGTACAGCCTGTGTTCTTAACTGCTTAGCGGTCTCTCCAACTCTGTTTCTCCCTCCCTTCTTCCCTCTTTCTTCCTTCCTTCCTTTCTCTCTCTTTCTTCCTTTCCCTTCCTTTCCCTTCCTTTCCCTCCCTCCCTCCCTCTTTCTTCCTTCCTTCCTTCCTTCCTTCCTTCCTTCCTTCCTTCCTTTCTTTCTTTCTTTCTTTCTTTCTTTCTTTCTTTCTTTCTTTCTTTCTTTCTTTCTTTCTCTTTCTGTTTTGTTTTCCAGACAGGGTTTCTCTGTGTAGCCCTGGCTGTCTTGAATTCTGTCTGCAGAACAGACCAGCTGTCCTCAAACTCACAGAGATCTACCTGCCTCTGCCTCCCTCTGCTGGGATTAAAGGTGTCCCCACCACCGCGTGGCCAGACCTTTTTTTTTTTTTTTTAATATGTGGGTTCAGTTTTAATGGTTGAGAGAGCCAATGATTATAACACATTTTTCTCCCTAATTCAAATAGATTAGCACTAAGCTAAATCTCTAGCCCAGATTCTTTTTTTTTTTTAATTTAATGTATTTTAATAGCAAACTTACAGGAACAACACAGAAGACAGACAACATTAAAAACATGTACTTGCATGCAGGACAACTCAGAAAAGTATAGTGATGGATGGAATCTACTGTATGATAAAAATGCTACAAACACCGTTTTGTTGCCATCAATAAGAAATTTGCTTATTTTTTAAAAAATCCAAATGCTGGCATTGTCCAGAAGTTTTTAAGAGTTTTATTTATAATTGTCATAAAGTTGAACTGTTGAAATGTGTTCACTGAAATATTTTGCTTGCATTAATGCTTTACACCTTGCATTTATATTAAAAATTCACACACAAATGAACGTGGAGAAACTGCCAATACCTGATTCTGTCCCCTATGTTTCCACTCGCAATCATATACTTAGGTACCTTTGACCCCATGGAAAAAATATCTAGCATTCAGAACTACTGATAACAGGAAGAAGAGGAAAAAAAAATTTTTTTTGAGAATGAAATGTTTCCCCTCATAGTGGACTCTTAAGCACACTCTCCACCTGTGCGGCTAACTAGCTGGATATCTTTTGGCATAATTGTTACACATTTAGCGTGGATAGCGCCCAGGTTAGTATCTTCAAAAAGGCCAACCAGATAGGCCTCACATGCCTCCTGCAAAGCACCAATAGCTGCACTCCGGAAGTGCAGATCTGTTTTGAAGTCCTGAGCAATTTCTCGCACCAGACGCTGAAAGGGGAGCTTGCGAATCAGAAGTTCAGTGGAGCCGGGCGGTGGTGACGCACCGCCCGGCCTCAAACTTGAAGTGATCCTCCTGCCTCTACCTCTCAGTTGCTGGAATTCCCATGGCTGGCCTAGAAAGCCCTTCTGTTTATTTCCTCTTTGCAGGTAAGAAGAATTACATAGCTCGCCCAAAATACACACCCCACCATTACAAGATCAGGATTGGAGCCGGGCGGTGGTGGCGCACGCCTTTAATCCCAGCACTTGGGAGGCAGAGGCAGGCGGATTTCTGAGTTCAAGGCCAGCCTGGTCTACAGAGTGAGTTCCAGGACAGCCAGGGCTACACAGAGAAACCCTGTCTCGAAAAACCAAAAAAAAGAAAAAAAGAAAAAAAAAAAAAGTTCAGTGGATTTCTGTTAGCGCCTGATTTCCCGGAGTGCAACTGTACCCGGCCTGTAACGAAGAGGTTTCTCCACCCCTCCAGTAGAGGGCGCACTCTTGTGAGTGGCTTTTGTAGCCAGTTGTTTCCTGGGCGCTTTACCACCAGTGGATTTGCGGGCAGTCCGCTTTGTACGAGCCATGGTATGAGCACCTCCTTACTTACCCCCCTTATCCTTCGGCTGGAGCTCAGCAAGCAAGAGGCGGAGGGCGAAGGCCGAGAACACAATTCCAGATTCTTATTTTTAAGGTGAATTGTAATCTATTAATCTTTGTAAAAAATACTTTTTTGGACCAGGCTTCTGTTACACACCCTTAAGTGTACAGCACTTGGGAGGTAGAGTCAGGTGAATTTTTGTGAGTTTGAGGCCAGCCTGGTCTACATAGTGAGTCCCAGGCCAGCCAGGGGTATACAATGAGACCATGTATCTTTAAGAAGAGGGGTGGGGTGGGAATGGAGAAATGTTTCAGTGCTTAAGAGCACCGGTCGTTTTCAGTGTGTCTTCCAGAGGTCCCGAGTTCAATTCCCAGCACTCACATAGTGGCTCACAACCATCTGTGATGGAATCGGATGCCCTCTCCTGGTGTGCAGGCACACACGGTGATAGAGCACTCATACATGAACTACATAAGTGGAGGTTTCCCAGTGGATAAAATGTTTGCAGCTAAGTCTCACAACCCCAGTTTCACCATCAGGACAGAACTTGATCCTACAAGTTGTCCTCAGCCTCACATCTCGGCCCCCACATACAATTAAATGTGATTAAAAAAAAAATACAAGCCGGGCGGTGGTGGCGCACGCCTTTAATCCCAGCACTTGGGAGGCAGAGGCAGGCGGATTTCTGAGTCCGAGGCCAGCCTGGTCTACAGAGTGAGTTCCAGGACAGCCCGGACTATAAAGAGAAACCCTGTCTCGAAAAACCAAAAAAAAAAAAAAAAAAAAAAATACAGATGAGGATGGATGGCTCAGAGGTTAGACGCTACTCCTGCAGTGGACCTGGGTTCGATTCCTAGCACCCATACGACAGCTTACAACCGACTCTAACTCCAGTTGCAGTAGTCTGACCCGCTTCTGGACCAGGCAGGCACACACCTTGTGCATACACATACATGCAAGACACCCATATACATAGAAAAAGTAAAAATGAAAATGAGTTTTTTTTTTTTTTTTTTTTT